TAGGTGTAACCCAATATGAGATATTTGAAAGAAAAAAAAACTAGAACAAGATATGTTACCCTCACTTTTTGTAGTTCCCATTGCTTATATATTGAAAATATTGTTCAAGAAAATAAGCAAGAGTGGAAGTGATCATTCTAGTAATAGTTTCGAATTCTCTCCCTCCTCCTAATAATAGTAAAAATATTTAAAAAAATTATTCAAGTAAATAGTACACTCCCAAGAGTGATTGTATCAGTTCCCTCACCCATGACTATTGTCATTGACATTTCTTTCTCTTGAATCCTCTCAAGCTCCATCACAACCATCTCCATCCTTGGCCGCCTTTTTGCCGGAAAACTCATGCATTGCAGTGTCAGCCTGATCAAGTCCCTCATTCCCTCTGCTGTGAAGCTTCCAGTTAGCCGGCGGTCCACTAGGTTATTCGAACTCAGCCGTGATTCCAACTTCACAATGTTCAAAATATTATTGAGAAGACAAATAGTAGCCTTTAACTAGCATATGTATAGAGACATTGCAAAGTTATGTGACCACATCTCTTAGAGAGCGGAGATTCACTCCCACAGGTGAGTCTACGTTTAAAAGAGATGTGATCAACAATGTAGTCGATAAATGGGGTGCAAAAATAGTTTCATTTTATCGACAATTAAAGTGCATGCTTATTCATACCCATTGAAATAAGCTTTCATTTGATCCCAAGGAGCCAATATGCAAAGCCTCCTGTCCAGTTAGAAGCTCCAAAGCGAAAACCCCGAAGCTGTACACATCACTCATTTCGGAGGTAACCCCGGATGATCCAGCCCTATCACATGCATTGTTAGCTTCTGAATATGAATGAAAGCGCCAAAACGAAAACCGAGTTCATTCAGAAGGCATCGAATTACCCTGGATCTTCGAAAAATTTGACACTAGGCGTGTGTGAAGGACCTGCTTCTTCAATCTTCTCTAGCAGTTTTGAGATCCCTGCATCTGCAACCTTAGCAGTGAAGTTCTCGTCAACCAATACATTGGCTGTTTTGAAGTTTTTGTGTACTATGGGAGGCTTTAGGCCGTGCAAGTGGGATAAACCTGGAAAATTAGAGGCTTAAAATCTTCAAACATGGTTCTTAATCTCTTCGTTTGTTATGGAGTTCCCATTCGATCTTACCTTTCGCGGCGCCTAAAGCTATTGATAGCCTTTGCTTAAACTCGAGTTTAGTTGATGGCTCCGATCTAGTATCTGCCACAAATTGAATAGCATCTGAAACATCCTTGTAAAACCCGTACTACGCACGCGCACACACATATGATTAGTGAAAAGAGGTAAAAAGAATTACCATATAGGTGATTGCAGATGCTGCCACTTGGTAAATACTCATAAACCAGTACTTGAAATCCACTTTCCTGGCAGTAACCGAGAATTGTAACTAAATGTCGATGATGAATCTCCGACAAGTATGTCACCTGTTGCCACATTGCCACGTAATAACTTGTCACTATGAACCCCTGACACTATCTTCATTTTCCGCTTAGCAAACGATTGGTTAAGCAACTATGTACGAGCTGCATTATGTAATGCACATAAATATAGAGCAATATACTTCTTATTCTTTCATGATCAGTTATACCTCTGAGACAAAATCTCGTCTAGGAGCACCAGACCTCCGTTTGATAGCCACAACAGTCCCATCACGCAGCAATCCTTTATAAACCAGGCCAAAGCTTCCATATCCCAGCAGACTGCTTTCATCAAAATGCTTGGTTGCCTGGTTTAACTCCTCCAATGTGAAAAGCCTCGGCCCATGTCTTGCTCCCGAGTCGGGCCCACCCCTATTCAATTCCACTGACAATGGCGGGGAGCAAGGTTTCAGAGTGATTAAGAAACACTACACCCCTCGATTAGCCAATGTAGCATAATTTTCTTTTCACAAATGCAATATTCAGAACTACTCTAATAAAGAGAAGCGGGATTCAAATGTGGGTGCAAAGAGGCACACGCTGCCATGGCTAACTAACGTACATTTGCAGCTCATGTGAAAAAAGAAGAAGACAAGAGTCTTACCTATTGCAGATGGATTTGAGGAACCCGTTTCGGAGTTCTTGTTCGAAAAACTCTTGCAATGGTTCCTGCAGAACCACACGAATGCGATGACGACTGCGAGAAAGGCAAGTGCCCCAGCGGCACCTCCTCCAACTATAGCAGCAGATGACTTTGGCATTTCAGCAAGTTGGAATCAAGCAACTAGTCATATATGTGGCAGCACAATAACTTATAAGACTTAAATATTATACTGTCACAGTCTTTGGCACCAGGAAAAAGACATGGAAATTTGAATTTATATTGCTTGTGGGGTTTTGGTGCAGACAAAGAGCTGAGAAATGCTAACTGGCTGATCTCAAGAATCTACTTAGAAAACAAGAACTTTGGGAAGAATCAATGCTGCTAAAATCTAAACAAACAGATCATAAAGACAACTACTTGCTTGTTCCTTTTTTTTTATTACGTTGTGCCCCACTTTGTTTCAGCATCTCATCACAATGACATTGAAGAAAGCCCCATCACTGAAGAACATTTGTCCTTTCAAAAACCCCCTCCCATTCCATCCCCCACTCCCTTTTACTAAAGTCACAACTTTTCACGCTCTCGTTTTCTTTGCACTTCAAATCTTTGTTTTATACGACGGTGAGAGAATAAAAGTGTGGAAATCACTTTGCTTAAATATGATGAGGTAAAGGGGTGATTTATGAAACCATGTAGGGAAAAAAGGACTAAAGCAGAAATTATTATTACCCTTTTCTCTTACTGATGCTACAGTTGATGTTAGTTTATATTTGGCATTGCTGATGACAACAGAAAAACTTCACTTTACGTCACTGTAAATTTCAAGTTTAATAAAACGTTAGAAAATTGATGCATGGCAGACTTTTGTCAAGTAAAAGAGATGATTCAGCTTAAGTTCATACAAAAAAAAAAAAAAGAAAGTAAAAATAAATTGCAAAATCTTTATGGGGCTAGTTCTGGGTTGTTACCTACTGTAAAATAGTTTGATTTTTACTATGAAGATGTGGACAGGTTTGAGAGTGACTTTAAATTGTTGGACAGTGGAAGACATAATAATTAATGAAAAAGGTTCAAAACTTAAGAAATTTTTTAATATGCTTCCGAATATCTTATACATTGAAATTTTGATGGTTAGATATCAGATATTGGATCCTTAATCAAGAATCTAACAATCAAAATCTCAATGTATAAATCTCTGGAACATACTAAAATATTCGCAAATTCAAAAGAAAGATAAAAAGGTAGGTACATCAATCACTCACTGTATCAATTCCAACTCCCTCTCTCTCTCTTCCCTGAATTCACTCCCATGAACATCCTTTTTGCCTCATTTTCTGTCATCTGATCTGGAAAGAGAGGGAGGGCAGTCCCTATATTTGTATAAAGATGAAGTCTTCCTTCAGATGGGGTCATTTGACAGCTGATCCAACAGCACATTATATATCACACTGCAAGTTTTGCAGCAAGAAAAAGAAAATGCTATCAAGTTTCCACAGCTACATGTCCTTGGTTTTTTATTGTTACACATTTGTGTGTGTGTGTATCATTTCTGTTTTGGAAAAATGGGGTAGTCTTAAAATTTCTTTCTTTTTGCCTGCTTTTGAAAATATTTATATTTAGAGCAATTTGGTTGAGCTGTACGGATTGTTGGTCGCGAAGGCTACTGAGCTGTAAGTCTCCTTCCATTCTATTAATTCAATTTGTTTGTTTTCCTGAAATTTATGTTTGTGTTGTTGGTTTGGCTGGAAAGGGAGAGGAGGGATTGGAAAGAGGGTTGTCATGTTGTGCAGGTCCATATCACACACTGTAATAATAAAAGGGTTTTTGTCGGGAAGGCTGGATTTTCTCAAATTTGGCTTCTTGGTAGTCGGTGGCGGATTCAGTAATTTTTCCTCCTAAGAGTAAGTTGCCGCACTTTATTTTGGTCGGTTGTTTCTACAAGATATTATGTCAGACATCTTACTCTCGTGACATTCATGCTTAAGAGAAACATTTGATGGACGTTGGACAATTTCGTGTATAACAATAGTGGAGTGGGGAGATTACATGCACTGGACCCTAATTGGATCCGTCACTAGTAATGGGTATCTACGAACTTTAAAACAAGGCAATCACATTTGTAACACATGGGTTTACGAACCTATTGTGTCTTTGTCTCTCGTCGCGTGAACCTGGTACACCAAAGTTTTACTCCTTGGACTCCTGCTTAAATGTTATTCAGTGTCTGTGCTGCTGCTGCTAGGCATTAGGTCAAGGATAGTCAAAGTGGTACCATAAAAGCCAGACCATATATGCTTGCGTGGGAGGATTGAAATCGAGAAATGTGTGCGTGGGGAGAGGGGGAAATAAGGACCATCCATTTTGGTAGGGAGGAATAACCTTGCAGTCGTGGACTTGATTCACAACCAGTGAAAACTGACTGCTGAATCACCGATGCAGGACCGTGAGCAAAGACTCTATTACTCATTTTAAGCCTTCTTTCTTTTTCTTCTTCTTCTTCTTCTTCTCCTTTGTTTTATTTTTCTCATAAATCAAGATACATAGACCACATTTCTAAAAAGAATTTGACACATTATGTTATTAGATGGAAAACTGAAAGTGACATATTATCCTGTTACATTATGCAATGATTTCATTATTGACTTGTAAAATTGCGAGAAATTATTTAATAATAAAATATGTAAAATACTACCTTGTATCGAAGGAGAAGAACTTGTTTAGGAGCATTCAGAGTCCGACATGTCATGTGCGATGCGTAGCAAAGCTTTTTCAATAGTATGTTTGTTTTATCCAGCTTACGATAGGTTCACTCAGTGTAAAAAATATTCTATTTGAAGTCGACATGATGCAACTTCGACAAATCCAACTTGGTAGTTGGTAGGTTTAAGAACTAATTGTGAATTCTATTTGAAGTCGACATGATGCAACTTCGACAAATCCCACTTGGTAGTTGGTAGGTTTAAGAACCAATTGTTACATTTGCCCATGTGAAATTACAAATAACAATCACGTTGATTTGGATGTGTCTCTTAGGCCCCGCAAAGGTTTGTGAGTCCACAGTCACGATGTGAACCAACCACGGTCTCAACGTGGACTATTTGGACAAAGAAATGTTGAATATTACATGGAAAATAATTAGGCTTGTGTAAAAGTATTTTTAAAATGATTGAAAAAACTTTTAGTGAAAATTGTTTTGGTTTCTAAAAGCACTTAATGTGCTCTTTTTTGCATTTACATTTTTATTAAAGATTGGTTCAAGAAATATTTTCCCAATAAGCGATTGCAGTCATTTTAGAATTGCTTTCAACAAAGTTCATTGTCTTTCTTAGTACAATGAAAAAGGGAATAAATTTAAATAAAAATATGAATAAAAAAGAAAGAAATGGATCAATATTAATGAAAACAAGTTGTTTCGATTTTATCGGATGTCTCTAATTGGGCGAGAAAAATATAATGTTTGTTCTATGTGATGCGAGCATGCGAGATTTATCATTTTCAGTATGTTTCACAAGTTATATATGTTGATGGGCTTTGATACAACGTAAAATGTTAAGTTTGTGACATTCGCAAGATTGCTCTAGTCACTAAATGTAGGTGAATATGTAGAGAAATAGAGATAATGAAATAAACACAAGATATACGTTGTTCATCCTAAGTTGGGCTACGTCCATGAGAGTAGATGAGTTCTCATTAATAGTGAAAAGTTTACACAATACATAGGTTCAAGCATAATCATCATTAGTGAGTTCTAATGATGAGTTTAAGTACAATAATGGCATTAGGACTATTTGTAGGAGAATGATTTCCTTTTATGGTTGAGGGGAGGCTCTAGCTTCCGTCTGCGATTGATGTGGAACTCTAGAAGTTTTATTTTGATGTTAACACGTGTCGTGTTGTGATTGACCTCCTGGTTAGAGAGAAACTCTTGTGCTTTGGCAGAGGGTGCCTCAACACGAATCTTTCAGTAGGTTCTTGAAGGTATAAAGTTAACTAGTGCTTAGTGGAATTGATGAAGTATGGTACAAACAGTGCTCTCTCAAGTTCTCGGTTGAGGACTTGCAAAACCGAAGTCACTGAATAATTACAAAATTTATAAATACCGAAATGCAGTATCATATAATGAGAGTTCCTCTAAGTCTTTGAGTGAGGAGGGTTACTGAAGAAGGTGCTTTAACTGTCGTCGAGTCACCAGAGATCAAAACGTCGATAGTGCTCACTTTTCGTTTATGTTTCAGCCCAAGGCCATCTTTCTAAATGTTAAGCCTTGCAAGCCCACGGCCTTATAAGCCCAGGACATGAATTCATAAATCATGATGAGTTAGATTTGACTGCACTCACTACGTTATAACTTGAGTCTTGGACAATACTTGAGATTTAATCTCTATTTCTTACTTCAGTGTATATATATATATGTGTATTATTTTTTGGACAAACAATATTATCTGCATTAAGGGAATAAGAGAGTGGGTTAAGCCTCACAATAAGCTAGAAATAATGTAGTTCAAATTCTCCTTTGATGAAAATCGAATATAAAACCTCTTATTTACAAGTGAAGATGAATACTACTAGATCGTAGTAAGTGAAAATACATCTTTAGTTTAGTGTTAATATATCCAATCAAATTTTAAGCACCAAATGTGACCTTTCAGGTTTCAATCCTAAAGCTTAGTAAATAGTGATTGACCGGCCGGAAGAAAAAAATTGTGTTTCCGGACAAGTTTTGTGACCCCCAATTCACTGAGACAAATTTTCGGCAAAAAAAAAATTCACTGGGACAAATTTGCGAATTGATAAAACTTAATTTTCTCAACTAATTTCTCCACCCTTTTCGTGTAAATAATATGTTGTTTAAAAAGAGAAAAATTGAAATCACTTATGTTTTTTATTTGATTCAAACAAAGTTAGGAAGGTTTTTTCTATTAGCACTCAACATAATGTTGAATACACCCCACATTAAACTTTTAATATTAAATAACTTATATATATAATATGTAATGACAAGTTCGACCTTATAGGGTTTAGAAAAGTTATAAAAAAAATCAATATATCTTAAATCAGTTTTAACGTGTATATCTCAAAATTATTTATCCTTTTCACGACTTCAACTCTCAAAAGCACTTTCACCTTCCCTTGGGTACCATTTGGTACGTGGGACGGGACGGAACGGAGTGGGACGAGGCGTTCCGTCCCACGTTTGGTGCGCCTAAAACAAGTGGAATGTGCTGTTCCACGAAACGAATTTTGGATGAATTTTCGTTCCGCCTCACCCCTTGGAACTAGGGCTGGGCACGGGCCGGGCCGGGCCCAATTTTGAAGGGACCGGACCGGACCTAGGTTCAAAGGAAACGGGCCGGGCCGGGCCGGGGATTACATTTTCTAATATAGAAACCGGACATTACCCGGCCCGGTTGAAACGGGCCGATTCGGGCCGGGTCCATGGGTCCCTTTTTTTTTTTTTTTTTTTTTGTTGTTTGAAAAAAAAAATTGTACAGATTGCACAGATTTGCAAATGGGCATAAAGAGTGAACAATTAAACAGATTGAAAACAAGCAGGCAACACAATTAAACAGAGTGAACACACAACACACAGATTGTTGACCGACAAAAGACCAAAAAGGCTGAGAAGTTTTCATTGCTGTTGGCAAGTCAATGACATCGTCTGAAACTTTATCACTACCCTGAGGGGGTTCCCAGGACCAAAAATCAGGACCTGGAGTCCTGGTTCCTGAAATTTCCGATTGAGGCACTGGCACAACTACACTCCTAATCTGTGCTCCTGTTGAAATTAAAATTTTTTGATAACGAAATGCTCAAATTACTGACATGCAAGTTATAAGAAACAAAAACAAAAAGTATTCAATTCAATTTGATCACAAAATTCAGATGCTCATCCACTACCTTCTAAAAAAATACCAAATCAGCATGCCATTACTTACCACCCCACCATAACTTAAAGTTCTACCCCGTCGATTGCAGGGTGTATATCCTCGTATTATCAAATGCCAACATATGTTACAAATTCACAACTCTAACTTTTACAAAGCCATTTACAATTTGATATAATGCGATCTCCGTGAAACAATTAAGCCATTTACATTTTACAATTTGATATAATGCGATCGCCGTGAAACAATAATCCCATCAGCATCCAAAACATATGCAGGATATCAAACTCTAACTTTTTTGTTCTTGGAAATTATGGACTTCTATTAACAAATAAAACAGTGATCAATATTTCTCGATAGCATCAAATGTACCTCAAAACTATACCTATCTTTATCTTCATTATCCCAAATCAAAATCCCATATTTAAACAAACAATCAGAAATTCAAATTGCCTAATTAAAAATCAAACACAATGTCCAAATCTTTACCTTCTTGACGAGCCCCAATTGTTCCGTCACCACCCCCGCCACTCCCACCACCGGAACCTCCGCGATCCCCCGCCTCAGTCCTCAACTCCTTATTCTTGTCCTCCAAAATGGCGCGAGCAGCCGCGATCGCGGCCGCAGCTCGATCAACAACCTGCATTCGCTGAACCCAGTCCCTTTCCTCATTCGAAACCTTCAGAATCTTTTGGAACTCCTCGCTCTTCTTCTCCAATTCCTCAACAGGTTCCACACTCTGATCATCAACATCGATTTTTGCAGAGTCGAGGGAAGGTAACTGTCGAGGGACTGAGGTCTGACCGTCTGAGAGTTTGAGAGACAGTGAGAGTGAGAGTCGGGAATCGGGATGAGAGGGATATAGAACGTACGGTAAAACTAAACCAACGGTTCAGATTACATACGTAGCTTATTCATCAATCTGGTCCATTCATTTTAATTACAAACGGGCCGGTCCGGGTACCCGCGGTTCCTATACTCCAGGAACTGGCCCGAACCGAAAATCACAAAGGCCTGCCCCGGCCCGCCCCGTTTCTTTTTTTTTTAAAGTAGGAACCGGCCCGTACCCGCCCCGAACCGTCATTACCCGCCCCTACCCGCGGTTCCTGTACCCGTTTGCCCAGCCCTACTTGGAACGACTTGTTCCACATCCGTGGAACACAAAATTATAACATCTCCTTCTCCTTCTTCTTCCTTTTTGTTTCTATCCGAGGGCATCTTTGCTCTCTTTATGTTCCATCTCGTCTCGTTTGCATACCAAACAATACCTTGTAGAACACATCCACTGATGACTGATTCATCAGGGCCATTGTTGACCTTTATCGTCAAACGTCTCTTAATTGGTTGTCGGCAAATAGGGCAGCGGTTTGTTTGGAATCTCAAGAGCTTGTCACACACATGCATTGCAGCAAGAAAAGAAGTCCAACTAAAAATCAATCAAGGCAAAAATCCACCATAAATTACACTCAAGTTGATTCAAGTAGATTAGTTTTGCGAATATAGGATAGTTATCTAAGTCATGGGTGGGATGGGATGCCTCGACCTTCACAGCTATAAGAGGGATATACAAATCAACTACTTTCAGTAACTCTGTATCCTCAAACATTGAGAAGTTAATCCCAATTCCGGGGGGCTACCTGAACTTTTGGCCCAGACCGTATTCAAAATGTACCGTCACAAGTGGATGAAGGTTAAAATGTATTGTCATTTTTTGGACACACACCTTCACTGATCAATGTTCATTGGTTAGAAAAAAGTTGAGCAAATCCTTCATGACATGAATGATTTTGTATCAAACGGCATAAGAAGAAAGAAACCATTATGAAGAGAGTGGAGTGTATGTAAAAAATGTAGATTGTATGTAGAAGATGTAAGGTGTATGTTGGGAGTGCGGGGTATGTGAAAAAGTTGAGCAAATCCTTCATGACATGAATGATTTTGTATCAAACAGCATTTTGAACTAAACTCATTTAAGCAGATGGTGTTTTACAATATTAGCGAAAAGTAAAGATGTTCTTCATACATCTTTGTGGGAGTTTGATTCCCACCAATCTCGTTCTCCTTAATAACGAACAAGTTAAGTAATGCTATCGTTTGTGAATAAAAATAATTTTGTTTAAATTATAAGGATGAAAATTTGAATAAAGAAAAAGAATTATATCCTAATTTCTAAACTATAAAACATGATTTGGATGGACAAAGCTTTTAGTAATGATCTTATTTCATTCAAAAAGAAAGAAAAAGTCAGAAAATTAAACCCAAGTGACCAAGTCTTCTTTCTCAGTTTCTCTATATCTCCACTTCCTCGGCAGATCAGAGCTCAGAGCTCAAAGCTCAAAGGCTCAAGGCTCAAGGCTAAGATTTTTATATATGCCCGTGGCAGCTAGGGCTTTGTTCTGCGAGTATAACTGCGCGCGGACTCCGAGTTGGTCCGATTTTAGCAATGTACAGTGTGTCCAGCGACGGCGAAGGCCATGAGGCCTCGCAGAGGAAGATCCCTCCGGCCTCCTCCATGCTTTGGGTCCGTAACCTCCGCCGCTTCATCGGATCCGGTGCCGGACTCGGATCCGAAGCCCTCATGGGTATTTTCCCTCTCACCTCTCTCTCTCTCTCTCATTTCCGTGATTTCTTTCAAATTTCCTTTTTTTCTCGTCGAATTTAAAGTTTTTGAATTAGGGTTTAGATTAGAACCATGTGTTACGCATTTGGGATTTTGGGTGCAGTTGGTTATTTATGTCCCCCTCTTTGTTTTAGAGATAATCAACTGTTATTAAGCTGTTTTCGTAGTGATTAGAACTTGCTTTAGGACTAATAAATCAAGTGTTAGCTAGATAAGATAATCGAAACAGCACAAATATGAAGGAAAAAAGTTTCTGCTTCCTTCAAGTTTCAATTTTTTTGAAGTTGGGAGAATGATGTCAATTTATCACAATTGTTCGAACGGTTTTATTTAGGTATGCATTACACATTCTACTGAGCCAATGATTCATGTGTGCTAACGAATTTCGAAGAGTTCAGCTTCGTTTTCTATCTTTGGTCTTTAATATGCAAGTGTGAGGCACCTGTTCATTGACCACTTGAGTCCTTCCCCGAGTTTTTAGTAGGTACTGGGTCGCTGTAATTTGCTTTTATGAGCCCATCTGTGGGTGTGCAGGCTCGAGATAGAAACCAAGTTTTTAGTTTCTAAACTTGCCAGTTGCTATTTAAATTGCCAAGACATGCTCTGATGATACTGAGGCGGATTTAGTTCATACATATGCCAATATTCTCTGCCTGAGATTTAATCAAGTGTTTTGTATTCTTTTATTCTGTGCAGAGCTTGAAACAAAGAGAATCTTGCTTGATATTTTCAAAGAGAAGCAACAAAAAAGTGCTGAAGCTGGCACAATCCCGAGTTTTTACAAGAAGGCATGTAGTAGGATTTTTGTTGTATTTCAATGATTCTGTTCGTGGTTGGGAATCTGAGGAGGAAGGGATTAATTTTTCGTGATGGAAAATTGACAATCTTTAATACATTTTTGTTTTGAACCCTTCTAGTTTTCTCTCTCCTTGGTCCCTTTTGACTTTGCACTGGCTTTCCATTCTTTCAGAAACCTGAAGAAGGATCTATTAGTCAGAGGGTCCAGAGGCTGGCAAAATATCGGTTTTTAAAGGTAATCATCTGGATTTTCATTCCTGATGATTATTGTTTTATTGTGTTGCGTAAGCATCTGACTTTATCGGTGGCATTTACGTTTGTTTTGCAGAAGCAATCAGATCTTTTGCTGAATGCGGATGATCTAGATGCTATGTGGGTGTGCTTAAGGGAAAATTGTGTGATTGATGATGCAACTGGTGCAGAAAAGGTCTGTGGTAACTGCGACATTTTTTTTATTATCTGCACTTCAATATATGGCTTTGATTAATTATAAATTTTTGGTTGCATAGTTACTTATCTGCCTAATGCTAATAAGTTCCCTTATTTATCATCTTGTAGATGAACTATGAGGACTTTTGCCACATTGCCTCTGTCTGTACGGAGCAGATAGGGCCTAAATGCCGGCGCTTTTTCAGCCCTTCAAATTTCATGAAATTTGAGAAAGATGAACAAGGAAGAATTGCCATTCTGCCCTTTTACCTTTATGTGATGAGAACGGTGGGTATAATTGATAATTAACTCCACCAGGCTTTTTCTTGCATCCTTTTGAAGACTTGAAAGTATGCAATAAATGACTACTGAATTGTGTGAGTCTCGAAATGCTACTTACTATTTGTTGAGTCCAGGTGTCACTTACTCAAGCTAGAATTGACATGAGCGAACTTGATGAGGATTCTGATGGTTTTCTTCAGCCTCATGTATGAACTTGTTGCAAATTTGAGCATAAGTGTTATATTTGAAAGTTGAGCTTTTTTCTTTAGCTACCTCATTTTTCCGTTTGATATTTGATAGATTTTTTTATACATTATCTTTTTCCATCTTTTCTTATTATTGTAATGATTTTGCTCTTTCTTCAGGAAATGGAAGCCTATATACGAGGCCTTATACCTAATCTAGCGCAATTACGGGACATGCCTTCAGGCTTTAGTGCAATGTATTGCCGCATAGCTGCACAAAAGTTCTTCTTCTTTTGTGACCCTCATAGACGAGGTTTGCCAAAGTTACACATCAATACCTATTCATTTATTGTTGTTATGTTTTGCATTACAGTCAAGGTTCTAAAAGATGCTAGGCCCTAGTCGGACGGTGGATTGGGGCCTAGCGCCTAGGTAGCTAGGTGGACTAGGCTGATTTAAGTAAACTTATTATATTCTATAAATAAGTGCATGCTTATACTTAAAAAATACATAACTGCATTGAGATACAAAGTTGAAAAATAGAATGATATATAGATTAGAAAGTATTATTAGAACATATTGAAAACATGGGGAACCAGAAAATAATAAGTGTTCATCCAAGTATTCAACAAGTCTATTACAATTTATTAAAAATAAAATTAAAATGCAAAATGAAATTTATCTATTTTCTGTCCAAGTGAAAGTCGCGACCTAAGTGGGTGCCTAGACGGGCGGGTGCCTAAGAAGGTCTAGGCGGGGCCCGGGCGGAGATTTTTAGAATAGTGATGACAATATATAAAATCACAAGCCTCTCCACTCATTGCCAATTGGTTTTGGGTTGGATGCTTTAACTTTAGAAGATACCAGATTTTAAATTCTTTATGTAATACAACAACAACAACAACAAAGCCTTTTCCCACTAAGTGGGGTCGGCTATATGAATCCTAGAACGCCATTGCGCTCGGTTTTGTGTCATGTCATCCGTTAGATCCAAGTACTCTAAGTCTTTTCTTAGAGTCTCTTCCAAAGTTTTCCTAGGTCTTCCTCTACCCCTTCGGCCCTGAACCTCTGTCCCGTAGTCACATCTTCGAACCGGAGTGTCAGTCGGCCTTCTTTGCACATGTCCAAATCACCGGAGCCGATTTTCTCTCATCTTTCCTACAATTTCGGCTACTCCTACTTTACCTCGGATATCCTCATTCCCAATCTTATCCTTTCTCGTGTGCCCACACATCCCACGAAGCATCCTCATCTCCGCTACACCCATTTTGTGTACGTGTTGATGCTTCACCGCCCAACATTCTGTGCCATACAACATCGCTGGCCTTATTGCCATCCTATAAAATTTTCCCTTGAGCTTCAGTGGCCTACGACGGTCACACAACACGCCGGATGCGCTCTTACACTTCATCCATCCAGCTCGTATTCTATGGTTGAGATTTCCATCTAATTCTCCGTTCTCTTGCAAGATAGATCTTGAAAAAAAAAATTATATTTTATTTTTTCATACAGGAAAAGCCTGCATAAAGAAGGTGTTATTGAGTAATTGTCTCCAGGAACTAATGGAACTGCACCAGGTAGGTCGTGAAAGAATTTGTGAAAACTTGCTATGTTATAAATTGCATCATCTTCATTAGGTATATATGCCTGCAAAGCAATTGATTATGTCATAAAACATCCGTTAAATTCTGATATTCTGCTAACTATATGTCCTGAACTTTATTCTATATTAGGAAAGTGAGGAAGAAGTCACTGACAATGAGCAAGCTGAAAACTGGTTCTCTTTGACATCCGCCCAGCGCATATGTGGTGAGTAGTTTTCACATTTAAACTTTCATTCCATGTCTCCGGGTTCCATTGTCATTCCTCTTTTGCTGTTGTTAAATGGATTGTCTTACACATGTGGCATATTTATGCTGCTGTTAAAGTGTTTCATTCCATGTCTCCGGGTTCCATTGTCATTCCTCTTTTGCTGTTGTTAAATGGCTTGTCTTGCACATGTGGCATATTTATGCTGCTGTTAAAGTGTAGTATGAGGATTCCATTCTAGAGTGAGATGATTACCTGCAGTCTTGGCTTTGGCTTGATTGCCATTAACTTGTGATTTCGTTTCACATTCTTGAGTCTTGAAGTCATTATTGTGTTCTAGATATATTCCCAATACAAGAATTTGCCAATGTTAAAATCCTAGGCTCAGTATGGTAATCTGTACACTCAAGCTCAAGATAAATGTGGTGATTATAATTGAAAACTTTAACACTACTGTAATTCAATTGCTGATTGCAACCCGTGCTTTCTGTAGACATGTTCATTGCTCTTGATAAAGATTCGAGTCAATCATTGAGCAAGCAGGAACTTCGAGAATATGCGGATGGGACATTGACTGAAATTATCATTGAAAGAGGTAAGCCTAGAAAACTTGAATCCAGTGTTTGTACTATGTACATGTTCATTTACTTAAAAATGCTAAGGAATCAATATGGAATTCTATTTCTGGGGATGACCCCTTCTGATATATTATAATGCATTTTGTATTTACATTTTAAGATTCGTTTATTCATGCTTTGCATTTGATATGACCTCAACAGTGTTTGATGAGCACGTTCAGCGTGGAAAAAGTGGAGGAAGCTCTAGGGAAATGGACTTTGATAGTTTTCTGGACTTTGTCCTGGCCTTAGAAAACAAAGACACCCCAGAGGGTTTAACATATTTGTTTCGATGTCTTGATCTTCAAGGAAGGGGTTACCTTACAACAGCTGATATACACTCTCTTTTCAGGTAAATATTCTTCTGTTTTTGACTTGTTTGTGGGGGACACTTATCAGAAACCCAGAAGAACTTTATCTGGTGGTACAACTTCTGTTGTCAAAAGTTTGTTGCTTTGCTTGGCTGCTGGTGCAAAATGTAAGTATTGCCTTTTGCCATGATCTGTGTAACCAAGCAGAGCCAAATATGGAAGTAAAGAAGAGGAGCATCCGAAAGTCGGGATGTTAACTGATAGAAACTTCCTTCAGAAAAACCTCTGTAGTATTTTCCTGCTTGCAGTATTTGAGCAATATCTGCAAGTCTCAGATTATCAGAGACTTGAATATTCTAACGAGTTTAACTACTATAAATATTTTAATGCTATTTGCTTCAGCACTGATTCCTTAGTATGTTTTGTCAGCTGAAAGATCTTATCTTGAGGTTTTGTGAAACAGGGATGTACATCAGAAATGGATCGAGGGTGGAAACTACGAATTGTGTATTGAGGATGTAAGGGATGAAATCTGGGACATGGTTAAACCAGCCGATCCACTGCGGATTACCTTGGCTGATTTACTAGCTTGCAAACAAGGCGGCACTGTTGCCAGCATGCTCATAGATGTGCGCGGTTTCTGGGCACATGACAATAGAGAAAATCTTCTCCAAGAAGAGGAGGAACCAGAAGAAGAATCGTAAATACACTCGGAGGACTCGAAAGGTTGCCCCTTTGGCTGCACTAACAAATTTAGATGGATTTTCTGTGTGTTTGGTTTCTGGTTTCTTGAGTTTTGTTTGTTGAGAAGATGATTTGCCTTGAACGGTAGCTATCATTGTAATATTGTGTTAGTCAATGTGAAATGTAAAATAACAACTATAGCTAATTGTTGCAAAATGCAGACATCAGTAGCTTAGGGTTTAGGGTATTATGGCGGCCTGGGTGATTCTGAACTTGCTATGTACGTCATAGAGTGCTGTTGCACCCGAAAAGTGCGTTGTTCATCGTGTCAAAGGCTGGTACCGTCAGGATGGAGGAGATTGAAGCATTGAAGCAATGGAGGAAAGTAGAGCCGAGAAAAAAATGCTTGAAGAGAGTGCCTTCGACTGCAGAATTGACAATGTCCTAGATCAAACTTGAAGCAGCGAGTTGCAATTAAGTTGCAAAAACTGAGGCTGCATATGTTCTAATATGAGGGAGCGGGGCTCTATGACGCGACGACGTGAACGTTGATTAGTTGTAATGGATGTTTTGCTTTCGTTGTAGGTACTGCGAGCTTAGAAAGTTTGGCTGTTGTCAACCTTTCTTCTGTGCCTTGCTTGGCTGCTGATGCAAAACGCGAGTATTGCTTTTCGCCATGATCTGTGCAACCCAGCAGAGCCAAATATGGAAGTAAAGAAGAGGATCATCCGAAAGCCAGCATGTTACCTGATACAAACTTCCTCCAGAACCATGTGTTGTATGGAGGATGTAAACGACGAAATCTGGGACATCTGCAGGCGGAAGCATTCTCATTCTATCAAAGCTTCACTCCGACAATTTAACTATGGTAATTTACAAATTTAGCATAACTAAAAAGAGGTCTTAGTCCTCCAAGACCGAAATTGTCCCCTAAAATTCAATTACAAGGATCACAATGCAGCAGTAGGCTTAATACAAATTTTTGTGACTTCAAAGCGTTAGGCACTTTACCCGTTTCGTTGCCTGCCATGGCGTTTGCTTGATATGGCAGACTGTTGCATTTGGAGATTTTTAACTTGCTGAGGACACAAGGTGTTGCAGGAGAAAGACCCAGGAACATCCAACCACTGATGATAGCCGGATTCGTGGGCTGCTCTTGATGATCTGTATTGTGGAACCCATGATTGTCAGTTGGTTATACGAGAAAATAAGAAACACCAGTGCAATTAGCATAGGATATTTGTCGCGTTCTTTCGCAACTGCAGATCAGGGCCTTATAATTTGCTCTCAAGCTTCAGTCATAAGCAGGATATCCCAATGCCGACTGTCTGTCCTCTTCACACTATCCCATAGACACAAACATCTCACGAATCTCATGACGACAAGGACCATGTAACTCAAATCCCTTTCCTTTTACGTAACCTTGTTGCTTGTATAAAGAAGGCAGAAGCGAATCATTGTGCCAACAAGGATCCACTAAGCAACTACAGCAGCTTGCATGAGATTGTGAGCTCATAAGTAAATCAGGCCCGCTTCTTGAATCCTTACGCTAGCTTGTGGCATAAAAGAAACTTCAAATTTTGTTGCAGTTAAACATTAAACCCCTTGTAAACCAGTGCTCTTTACATTCTCTAAACGACCCAGCAGATGCATCACATGACTTAGCTGAGCAAGCGGTTGGCCACTCTAACTTCCCCGTTGAGGAGTCCCCCAATATTCACACAGGTGTTCCAATGTATAGGCAAGATCAGAAATTAGTATCAAGTTTCTCGCCAACATTCAACGCAAGCTTTTATACTCAACCACTGCGTCATAGGTTTCCATGTTGAATGCACTCTCTGCAAAACATCTGAAGGGTAATTGTTTCCAGTTAGAAAGCATTTACAAGTGAAGAAACTAACTTACACCTCTAGGAGTCTATAGAGAGATCTATTTAAGAGAAATAAAAAAAAAGAGTTTCGGTATAGACCTACTAAGGTATGCTGCTGCATCTCACATGATAAAGATAGCCTAAGACACCAATGTAATATGGAGCTCGCACCAAACACAAATGACATTGAACAAAACAAGCTGATGCAAAACCTTGATTCCAAAATGGCATTAAACAATTGAAAAACTACGAAGCTTTTAAAGTCACTAAATACCTTAACTCGTGCAAAAACATGTCAGTTCGATCAACTAGAAAAGGGCGCAACGATGCAAGGGGGTCACCTCGGACATCACACTGTCCTGGAAGGACCTGATCCTTATTTTCAAGGTTTGCAATGAAGAGTGAGGTGGCCACATGAACAATAATAGATGGATCTCCGTCTCCAAGAAGAGCCTGCAACTCCCTCCGAATCCATGGCTCTATTCTTTGCAAAATTCTCTCTTTTACACCATCGGTTATGGGTACACTCTGGAATTTCAAAATCAAAATACTCAATTCAATCAGTTTACAATTTCTTCACTAATTAGTCATTCAAATTTCAGGATATAAATTCGAACAAAGAGCGAGTAACAGCGATACACTAACCACTTGAAGACGATTTCTTGAAGCTGAAGGAACAGCTTGCAATCGTCTGTCATATACACTGCTTACAGAAAATAAAAGTTCAAACAAAATCAAAATAAACCAAGTTCGAAAAATTAGCAAACAATAAAATTCAGTGTCAAGTGTTACCTAGCTCGCCATTGGAGCTTTCTCTCCGCAACCGTATCAGGACCGACCGATCCTGGCCGTCCAAACGATCGCCGCCACGGCAACGGCCTTGATCGCCGCCGTTCACTACTTCTCACATGCCTAATTATACACAAAATAGCAAAATTTGAGCTCGGAATTGCAAATTTAACGAAACCGGTGGATCAAAAACTAAAATGTCACAAAATTCAGACCTTGGAGGATGCTCTTCGTGTTGAAGGCCGAAGCTTCTAGCACTAGAAGTGCGATTCAGAGGAGGTAAAAGTTCTTTGTGGAAGCTTCGGGAAGAGAGGCTGATTTGCGAGAACCAGGAGTCGAAGTCGGCGTTGCAGAGAGGGCATTTTCGTCTCAAATTGCTCCACTTCCGGATGCAACGGACGCAGTACGCGTGGTTACAGGACGAGAGCACCGCTGCGCTGCGAGCTTCCACGGCAACCAAGCATATTGGACAGTTTTGCCCTCGGATTGCCGGCAATATTACCCTCCGCAGCCGCTTCTCCCGGCTGCTTATCCTCGTCGGTTCTCTTAACAACGAGTCCATCACGCCTCTCTGAAAGAGGAGAGAGAAAGAGAGAGACACAGCCGCGATTTTGCCGACAATCCTCCGGGGGATAGAAGTTGGAAAGGTGGTTGTTTTCGATGCGTGGGGTGGAGTGGCAGGAATGGCGAGCAGAGCTCGGGGATTGATGTTGGTATGCCTTTGGAGGTATGGCGGGCGGGGAGGGGAAGAGGCCGGAAAGAATGACAAATTGTTCAACGGAGATCTGAAGTAATGGCTGTAGTCAAACTCGGATTTGAGACCTTAAAATCCTGTGCAGCCAATTTTAGATTCCATTCAAATCTAGATGATTTATAATCTTTTATAATCTAGGTATCGTCAATTAAAAGATTTTAAAGGATTTTAAAATTTATTCAAATATAAGTGTATTAAAAAAATTAAGATTTTGAAGGATTTCAATAAGTTATGGATTTTATAGATTTTGAGAGCCAAAAGTATATATAACCAAGATTAAAAGAATAAAACCTCACCCCCTAAGATTTCAAATCCTTCCACCACAATCAATTCAAATTCAAAAATCCATATGAATTTGGTAGGAATCTTTAATCCTCTTAAATCCTATCAAATCTATCACTATTAAAATCCTTTAAAATCCTTGAAAATCTTAATTTGACTACACCCCTTATATTCGATATGCGTGGGTCTTCGGCTTTGAAATCCGTACCTATGTGATGTGATTCAATTGTGGAACCATAATGGTGAATATTTCATTTCTAGAATATTTTCGAAAATAGATAAAAGATTGAATGATTAATTATGAAGGGCTTGATCCTGCTCAAGGGTATGTAGGCAGTCTAACAAGGGTTAGATGCAACCCTAAATGATCGAGAATTAAATTTTTTTTTTAGAAGTTGTTTTAATAGAAGGAATTTAGGGGTTTAATTGATAATCTAATCGTATTTTTGATAATTGAAATATGGATATAGTTTTGTGAGGAATTAAGGAATTGAAGTAAGGAATTATGATTAATGGTAGTTAACTAAATAAGAGTTTAGTTTGAGCCTATCACCGATATTATTTCCCGAAACAAATATTTCAGGGCGGGGTGTTACACGAGTACTACACTATTTATGAAACTAAACACTAGTACTATACTATTTATGAAACTGAACACGGTACTACACTATTTATGTAACAAACTATTTCTGAAACTAAACATGGATACTATATTATTTATGACACTAAACACAAGTACTGCACTATTTTTGAAATTAAGCACAGCTAGTGCACTAAATCTGAAAATAAACATGGCTACTACACTATTTCTGAAACTGAATATTGATATTATGACTATTTCTTAAACTGGACATTGATGCAAATTTCCCTTAATAATATGATTCTTTTGAATTATAATTAACTGTTTTTTCAATTACAAACGCAACGTGATCATATGCTAGACATATAAGTAAATAATCTTTACCCTAATGTTGAAGTATAGGATGTGTATCCTTTACCAATTTGTTTGAATGCTCTATTAATTTATGGTTTTTATATAGGGGCTTTCAATTTTGCAAATTGCAAAGACACATAATTTGCATAACTAGGGGCATTTGATTCTAAATATGACAATTTGTAAAGCAATTCTTATAGGATGAATCGGTCCAAGTTACATTGCAGTGAGGGGCATGCAATCTCCTTCAGGTTGCTGCCAATTTGCTAAACTAAGATCGCTTACACCAAATGAGGACATTTTAATTCCTTCAAACCGCTTTAAAAAAAAAATTACAGTATCCTTACCAATAGAACAACGGAAAAACAAAGAGGAAGACACTTCGTATTCCGAAGAAAATTAAAGACTAATTTACTGATCAATTGGAATCAACATATCTATTGAGATTCAAAAGTCAAATCATAGCCACAACAGAGAAATTGCAAAGAAAATAATATAAAATAGATTGATGGTGGGTTTTACAAATTTCAAGACAAATGGTTTTAGAACTTTAAAAAAAAAAGAAAATTAAAAAAAACCTTCAAATTGATGAGCTTGATTCTCTGTGTGCCATAAACAAATAAAGGGTTTTGTGGGGAAATTTACACACCTCTGACTCTTCTACTTTGCTCAAATCGAGCTCGGCAACGACAAGCCATGGCTTAATCTCACATACTTGCTCATCTGCTTCTTCTCCACGATGTCGGGGCAAACTCTCCTTTCCTAGGTCTCGTTTCTCTCTCCTCCTTCTATGAAATCTATTAATTCCATATAAAATGTATAATTTGATTACACCTATTACTTGGTATTGGCCATCAATTGCATTTTTAGTAATTGGAATGACATTTGGTGCAGATGAAGGATGATGGCGATGTTGCCGATCGATTTCGAGCAATTCGAAAAATTTGTGATGTTGAGGAGTTTTATGAAGCTTAAGAGGAGAAACCCAAGATAACCTTATCAAGCCACCCTGCATTCAACATCTCCATCAAACATAAGATCAAGCAACAAAAAAATAATAAAAAATTGAGATATAAGAAAAAACCATGGACTTGAAAAGCAAGGTTTTCGTGGTTTTCTTGTTGTGAGTTGAAAAAAGCCATGGAGTTGAAAACCATAGAGCTGAAGCAAACACCAGCGACGTTTGAGGAGAGGTAGAGCCAACAATGAGGGTTTGACGTTAGGGGTCAAAACTGATGTTAAGGGTAAATTGGAAGTTTGATAAATTACTTTGTCTGGGCTAGTTTTATTGGGCTTATTTGATAGTGGGTTTTGGTCTTAACCATTAAATAAAGTTAGTATATGATTTTTTTTGTTAAAATTCAAAGTATTGAACCCTTTTTCATTAGTTTTCATTTTAATCATCAACTTTGAGTGAGGATCCTCGCCGGGTCCTCAAATCACAACCGTTTATCGTATATCGTGCAGTAAAAAATCATTGTAAATTTTTTTATTTAAAATTGAATATAAATAGTACCTGTCGAAAACTAACTGCACGATGTAGAATGAACAGATGTGATTCGATGATCTCTAAAATTCTCACAAAGAGAATTCAACAAGGATCCTTTCTCATCAACTTTTATGTCATTTAATAAAAGAATTTAGTTTAAAAATAAGAAGAAAAAAGAACTACTAAATTTAATCAGCTAGCATTACTCTTCTCATTGTACAATAGGGGAAATGATCTTTGCCGAATCTTTCTTAGGGATCCTGGGGATCTTGTGATCTCACCCATTCATCGTATATCATGTAGTCATAAATCATTTCAAATTTTAAAATTTAAAATTAACTATAAATAGTACCAAATGAAAACTAACAGTACGATATACGATGAACGGCTGAGATCACAGATCCCTAGGAAAGGGATTCGGCGAGGATCCTTTTCTGTACAAGAGAGCGGGTTTTAGCCAAGGTATTAAATATTGATGATATCGGAAATATCGGTAATCCAAAAACATGGAAATTTCGATGGAAATATCGGGATATTATCGATATCGATAAAAATTGAATAAAAACCACGAAAATTGTAAGAAAAACTTGGAATTTTTTATTGAAACTTTGCATAATGTTTATTTGGTCAATTATCTATTAGTTTATCACAAAAAATTGGAAGGAAATGCATTGCATGATGGATTTAACTGATTTAAGTTGATTATATAGCGAGCTGGCAAACATTGTGAATGTAGAAAATATGTAGTAATTAATGAAATAAGTTTAAACACACCATAATCATTTATATATAATGAATTAGTACTGTTGATGCACAAAATCAGTGAGGACTTTGGTACAACAGAAAGTGTTAAGTTTGTCACTTTCGTTAGATTGCTCCGGTCACTAGTGTGGATAAGTATGTAAATGGATAGAGACAGGGAAGCAAACACAAAATGTACGTGGTTCACCCAGATTGGCTATGTCCACGGAGTAGAGGAGTTCTCATTAATTGTGAAGGGTTTACACAAGTACATAGGTTCAAGTTCTCCTTTAGTGAGTACTAGTGAATGATTTAGTACAAATGACATTAGGAAATATTGTGAGAGAATGATCTCTATTTATAGAAGAGTTTCTAGTTTCATTCTGACATTGACACATGTAGTGTTGTGATTGACTTCTGATGTTGACACATATCGCGCTATGATTGGCTTCTGATGTCGACACATGTCGCGCTATGATTGGTCTTCTAGTTTGAGGGAAACTCTTCTGGGTCATTGACGGTATAATGTTGACCGGTGCTCAGTAGTTTCGGGATTGGTCAAGTATGGTACAATTAGTGCTCCCCTAAGTTCCCGAGTGAGGGAAGCTTCTCGATTAGGGATTTGCAAGATCCAAGCCATTGAGTAATCACGAAACTTCTAAGTACCGAAATGTGGTATCATTTTCACTTGCCTTATCTGTCTCATATGTAGATGTGACATCTTCTCTGGAAGTACTTTTCCTCCATCCAGGGGTGGTATCTTTAACCAATGAAGATGCACAAGGTAATGTATCAATTTCACTTGAAGCTTACTTGTAGTTTCGGGCTTGGTCAAGTGCAATACAAACCTTATAGTAGGAGTTCCCCAAATCGCCAAGCTAGGAGATTTGCAGAAAGAGGTAACAGACAAGGTAAGCAATCAGACTTCCAAGCAAGCAACCTAGATCAGAGATTCGACTTCGGCTTCCGGTTGATTGTTCTCATTCTCCTTGTGTCGTAAACAGCAACAAGGATAAGAAGAAGCAAATGGAGAAGAGATGATATGAGATACTTTTGTTTTTGAAGAAGTAACTTTCCACAAGCTTATTCTTGAACTGGGTTGGAGGGTTTTCTGGTTTCCTCTAGAGTATAAGGCCGACTCAAGAATTTGAGGGTCAAAGCAAGTCCATCAAATCTAGAGTACGTTTGACCCTGATGATATGTGATACTTTTGCTGTTGACAAAGTAGTGGATGTATGGGCACGTGTTCTGTTACGCTTGTCTCCACATGCTTCCTTGTATCATTCTCACTTGCCCTATATGTTCCTCAGGCCGATGTGGTATCTTCTTTAGAAGCATAAAATGTTGAAGATGAGTACTCGAGAGCAATGCTAGGTAATTAATCAGGCAAAAGGTACCAAGCAGTCAGTTCCTAACTGGAAGCTTGATTCCAAGTGCTGACTAATGCTCTCTTTCTCATTGTCTTGCAGGTAAGAACAAGGCCAAAGGAAAAGACAGGAAAAAGCATGATATGGGATACTCTTGCTTTTAACCCTGATGATATGAGATACTCTTGCTCTGGTGTGGCTTGTTTGCAGAGGTATTATCGGGAGGAAAAGAAGCTGAGTATTTCGAGATACTCTGCTGAGAGTGCCCTCTTGGATGAAGAA